TAATCTTATCTAGCCGCGGGCATCTGGACCCGCTACGGTTCCGGGGCGTAGATAAGGTGAATGCTAGCCCGGCTTCATATTGGCATCCTAGAGGGTTTGAAAGGATCGGCGAAGCTGGGCTAGGGAAGCAATAGGGATACGCATATTTATAACTACTAGCTCATGTAGCCTGTCTTTGGCTATCTCATCTGATCGGACTGTAGATAGAAGCACTAATGGAATGGTATTAGCTCAGGCTAGCCAACATACAGAAGCTAAACTATGATCGAAGCCTGACGCGCCGATCGCGCCCCTGCGCACTGCAGCTGTAGCCTGCCCGCTTCCTGCCCTCCCCTGCTCGTTCCCTGCTCATTCCCTGCTGCATGAGGCTCCTGAACGGTGTCCCTGCTCCTCCGCCCGGTCCTCCTCGCGCTCCAGAGCAGATGCAGACCAATACTGCATTGACACGGCCACCAGAAATTGACGAAGAGGCATGGAACAAGATGCCCGTCGCTCTGCAGATGCAGATCATCGCGTCCCTGCAGCCACAAATCAACCCCGAGCTTCTGTCAATGGGAAATGGGCACGCACCTGACCATGGGTCTCATGTTCGACGCATTGGAGCACCTGAATCACGGACTAGCAACCAAACTAGGTGAGTAAATAACCGTAGAATGATAGAGCATATATCTTACCTCATATCTAGTGAACGCTCCAGCGCTCGAGGCCGGCCCAGGGAACGCAGCGGCTCTAACAACCGGGATGTTGCCTCAACAGTCGACTCGCGGAGCCGACACCAACGTCGACGTGACTCGCACTCCGCGAGCCGAAGCCGGTCTCGATCTCCACCTAGACGCAGGCGGCGTCGCGATGTGTCCAATAGCCGCAGTCGATCTCGATCACCAGCTCGGCAACATCGTCGACACGCATCGTCGTCTCCAACACCCGTTATTCTTGAGAAGCTGACGGCTATCAGCAAGAGACTGGACGATATCGAGGAAAACCAAGCAACGGGAGGGCGAGAGAGTCAGCTTGGTGGACGTGGTGGGAGCCGTACTGGGCGTGGAGTACGAGGTGGACGAGGTGGAAGACGAAGGGGCCGGCTGTCAGGAGCTGCATTACAAGGAACGATGACAGTGGAAGAGCAACGCACTGGTTGTTATGACGCAAACGCCGAGGACGTCACTCTGCCTGCCAAAAAGCTGAAGACACCTACAAGGACCGCTCAAAACGAGTTACTTGTGAGTCTATCTCAAGCTGATGATGGGTTACTGAAAGACACGTACGATAGCAACATCTCAATGGCGCATTTAAGCTATTATGTGGAGTTCATGGTGACGAGAGGTGGCCGACTGATCCTGACGAGGAGCGTAAAAATCCCAGGGCACCAGACGAGGTGTACCTGAACCCGGTTTTTGCTTCACCGGTTAACGACCCGCGAAACGTCAAGGTGCGGCGAGCTGTCACCGACCATGTGTGGTCAGAGTTAAAGGTTAGTGCATATAACCACTTGTACACTGATGCCTGACTCACCGCTATAGACCCCTGGCAATCTTGGCGAGAAGCTGACCAATCGAGCTGTCAAATGGAACAAAGAGAGCCTCTTCGTGTTGTCAAAGACGACATTCACAAGCTTGAAGGAGGTTTGGCAGGTGCAAAATGATTCTGGACGCGAAGCTGCCAAGGCAAGAGACGACAGGGAGCTACGACGATACCAGCGAAGAAAAGCAGTGAGTATCTATATCATGAATCAATGCAGGGACTCACCAGCCTACAGAAAGCTAGTCGGCTGCTCGGAGTGATAGATGAGTACAAGGAGGAGCATGATGGGAATGATCCTACAGAGATGATCATTGCTGACTTGATGTCGGATGAAGAGTCGGGCCCCGAGGAGGGATCAGATGAGACGCTGGAGGAGTGGAAGGTGATGATGGCAAGGGGAAAGGGAGTCAATCCACGTGGGGATGCGTTCGGGACTGCAACATTCCACGAAGTGTTGAGATGTCCCTGGCGCTCGGAGCTTGTGAGCGAGAGAGCAACGTGATTGATACATGACTTACTGTTGATTACAGCTCGAGACAATCCTCGCTTGGCTGCGAGCCAAGTGGTGGGAACTGCTGGACGTTAAGAAGAGGAAGCGGTTCACCACACACATGGTCCGCACCGACCGCATGACTTCTCGGATCCCAACTGAAGCGCCCTGGGACTGTTGTATCAACGCGGGATGGCATGCAGAGAATGTCAACGAACCTGAGTACGAAGTCTACAAGCTAGGGGACTGGTACAGGTATGGCGACCCACCTGCGTTCAAAGCGCCGGGTCCTCCGCAAGAATTAGCACAGGCCACTTCAAGCGGAGGAAATGGGCAGCCCGGACCAAGTGGGGGTGACAAGAGTGTGGAGGCGAGGCCAAGCGAGAGCGGCGAGGGTGGACAGATTGGACCAAATGAGGGTGGTGAAGGAGGCGCGCAGCCGAGTGGGAGTGTCCAAGGCGGTGGACGTGAGGAATTGGGCAGTCGGGTTAATGCACCATCAAGTGGGTGGGGCATTGAGCAGTGACAGAGGTGAGCGAGGTGTGTAATGAACGAACGTCATTTCTTGGTCAGCAAACTGCTATGGGTTTTAAAAAAAAAAAACGGAAAAACTTACTTTCTGCGGGTCTTGATCGGGTTTCTACTACAAAATCGGGTACTAGTGTTGTAGGGTAATTGTTGTCAGCATGCTAATATGTAGAAGAGTGTAGGTACACGCACTCTGTTGAGACTGGTTGTAATCCAGAGTGGTGGATCTGTTGTCTCAATGACCCCACGAGCAACTTGACATTGGATGTAGTCGAAGGGAAGAACACGAGGCAAAGGGCTGGTGTCAGGTTGGTATGCGCTCACTTCAAAGAATTTGACATCAAGCTCCGGGCTATGCACAGTGTTAGAGAATTGTATATGATCAAGAGACAAGCGGGTACGTACAAGCCATGCCATGGATCATCTTCTATGGGCGACAAATCGACCTCTTTCATCCAGCGAAGTTCTGCAAATAATTGATGACGCATATTAGGTGGTGTCCCAGGCTGATCATGGGAGAAAATCCCAGTAACTTCGCCATAAAGTGGGCCCACTCCGTCATAGTAAGCCTTGATGATTGAGGAGCTCGCAGATTGGCTACGGCTAGCTGAGACAGAAGCAACACGGCGGCCATCAAGGATCGCGTGCTGGTAGTAGAACGCATGATCATTGAGGGTAATTGCATTGGGAGAAGCGGCAGGCTGAAGTGAAAGGCGGAACGTTACCGCTGCTCCCGCTGCCGTTGCGCCAGCATTATAATAATCACGCATGTATACGCGTGTGTAGTCCTTCATTCGCTGAGTTGTTTCACTAGTACGGGGGCCTGGGCTTGCATGCTGGCGAGAGGACAGCTCTAGCATAGTAAATCAGAGTCGCACTGAGGGGCTCAAGTATAAGACGTACCATCAGAAGCAAGAGCATCTCGAAGAGTACCACCCTCATCAGGCTGATGGAGGATTGTTTCGAGGACAAGCTTGGTATAACTATTGTCGGTGTCATGTACAATCACGCGAGCCTGAAAGAAAGCACAATCAAGCTTGAAACAAGTATGGAAATTCAGACTGCGTACCATAGAGTCAATGCGAGAGGCTCGCGCAAACTCGCGCATCATAGAAATCTCCACCTGCCCTCCGGTCCAGTTGTTGGTGTTCGAACTTTTAAGAACCTTATTGAGGTGTTCGGATAAGAATGCCCAAAAGTTATAGACAGGGCCATAATCGAGTATTTGATCGGATAAGTGAGTGGCCCAATGAAAGTTTGGCCGGAGGGCATCAACCCCATAGATCTGCGCCAGTGTTAGAATATTTGTATTTGTATAGAGAGATAACGCACTTGTCTATAGTTGACAAGATAGTTGTGAAGCAGTTGGTTTGCACGCTGCAAGTCATCCGCATGAATTGAGCTGCTGCAAAAGATCTTGAGCGCCGCAGAGAACCGAAGGAAATTAATGGGCTCGTCAACATGCATACGTAGCTTTGGTGGCATGGGCTTCCTTGGCTCCCTCTCACCCTTCCCCTTCTTCTGCTGGCCAGTCACCGAAGTTTGCGTGCCCTGGCGAGTGAGCTTCCAAGCAGCAACATCTTTCTCATACTTCCGAAGACGGGCGGGGTATGATGCAGCCGAAGTGCGGTGCTCAGACTGGGCCTCATCAAAAGAAATATCCCATATGATGGGTATCTGCGTGTCTATTCATAATGAAACACAAGGATAAACAACAAGTGAACGCACGAGAAGGGGCCATGCAGTTGTGGTGGCAAACTTATACTCGTCTGCTGTCAACGAACCGCCTGCTGGTTCGCCCACGCGCGCAGGTAGTTTGCCCGCCCACGCTGGTACCTCAAACTGATGGATGTGAGTAGTCCATAGTCAGAAAGCTGTGAAGAGACGGCTTACGTTCGCGAGGAATTTGTGAATAATATCAAGTTCACGTGCCCTAGTCGAAGTAGCCGCACGAAGTGTGGACGTCTGAATCCACCGGTCAAACCACTGTGATTTGGCTATACCTATCGTAATGTCAGCAACACAAATTTCTGAACCATATACACCTCACCGAGTAGAAGATTATGCATAGGGTCAATGACCGTCTGCCGTACCACATCAAAGTAAGGGAGACGGGCAAGTTCCGTCCACCTGATACCATACTTGTCAAAGTGTGTCTGTCGTTCTGTTTCATCGACAAGTGCTCTGGCCTCGTGTGCATGTTGCCGATGTTCTGACCCTGTGCGACGCTCAAAACCTTCAGATAACACCACACCGCATGAGGTAATTAAAGTGCAAGTGTACGTGTCACGTACCATTTGCAAAAGATTGATCAGAGTACAGCTGTGTTTGCGGTGCTTTGCACTTTGGACACGGCGCTACACCGTGGGCATGATCAGCAAAACCTGAGACCTTACACATTGCCGGATGGTCGCAAATCACTCCCAGTAGAACAACACGAACACGTCGGCCTGCAGGAACAATGAATACAAGAATAGATTATTACTGAAGACGGATACCGTTTGGGTGTTCCGGGGTATAATACACCACACCTTCTTCATACAGCTTGATGAGATCGTTAACAATGAGCTTCAGATACCACTGAAGCTGTTCGGCAGTCGGCTCGCGAGGGCCTGGTGTCATAAATGACACTAGGAGATTCTCGGCCCGATAACTGAGCCTGGAGTAAGCATACAGGCATCATCATATGATTAAATGACTTGCCGCAAAGCTCGTGGAAGGTTTGATACACAGAAAGAAAGCACCCCTGATGAATGACTTGGGCCGTAAACACTAGTCTTACGACCAAACCTTATATAACAAATGAGTAATCCCAAACACGAGACACACAGACACGCACCAATCAATGCTCATGGTCACACCAATCCGTAGCTCACCTGAGTTGTCCGTTCGCGAGAAGAATGGGTCCGTGTGATTAGGCATCTTCGCCTCACTCCAGATACGCCCATCGCTGATGTCATGGAGTTGGCCATCCTTGGGAGTACGGGCCTTCCACGACTCGCACATTGCCTCGACACCAGGTTGTGCAAGAAAATCAGCAAGGAGAGATGACGGTAGTTGTAGTGGGGCTGCACAGATAGGTGGTGGTGGTTTTGGTGGGCGTCCAGTCACCATGCGGAAGATCGAATTAGATACTGGCCTGTATATTCGTTCATTGCATCCAGGACATATTGATTTAACCGAACTAGATGGCGAGAAAATACGATGACAACTCTGACACACCGGATAGATGCCAAATCGATCTCCGAGGTCCAATTTCTTGATCGTGGTGTTGAGGGTGAGGATGAGAGGATTGACGTCGCGATCGATAAGACCGAGAGCAGTGAGGATAATATTACAGCTTTGGAGGATCAGCGCACATGCACGGAATGAGACTCGGTGCCTGGTGTGAAGAAAGGCGACGAGGAATATGATGATGCAGCCGTACCATGTATCATGCGTGCTAGTGTACGCGGTTTGGGGGGGAATTGGTGCCTCGTAATGGTCTGGAGTGGGTAGCTCCAATTCCTTGGCTCGTGGTGCTGCCGCCGGAAGACGTATAACAAGCCTCTCCTCCTCTTCTTCGCCCTCGACTTCCTGAGTATGAAGGAGTGGATTGTTGTGTATCTCCTCACCTCCATCCGAGTCGTCGTAGAGTCCAAGTTCATCTGCATTGTTGTGATCAGGAGCTAGCTTGGAGACTGGTGGAGCATCCGAGTCGTCTTCTCGTTCAATTGGAGCAGCACGGACTCGTGCTTTACGACGGGGCCGTTTGGATCGGGATGATGGCAGGGGTGCAGGTGTGAGGACTGAAGATGACGACGGAGGTGCGACACGGGCCGAGGATGATGACGCTGATATGGGTATGCGAGCTGAGGACGATGCTGTGCCTGGCAGAGGCTCGACGCCCGCCTGTTGCTCTCGATGAGACGAGAACGTGCGTGAGAGGGAGGGAACTGTTGCTGAGGAGGTGGTCGATGAAGGAAACGATGGCGACGAGATAGACCTCGTCACAGGAAGGTGATGTGGTGGAGACGAGGAGGGATGATCCGGTTCTATGTCCATGTCGTAGTCATCATAAGGAGCCGCAGGAGGGCTAGCAGGTGTTCTAACAAAGACTATAGTTAGCGCGAGCGTACAAAAACACCGAAAATAGGGGCAATTCCGCATCGGGGACGGCCATCGTCGACGTCGTTCGGCTAATTTCCGCATCGTTGATGCGCTTTTAGCCGAGACGCAGTGCTCATCGTTGCTCGCAGCGATCGGATTGCCCCGGATTGTCATCCGATCGCCCCCGAAACAGCCATTTTACGAAACCAGGAATAAATGAAGAACTCACGAGCGAGAGGATGCTACGACTTGAGGTTGACTGGGTGCCTGACCCACAGACGGAGCAGAACTCCCCGGCCGGGTGACGCTGGTGCTGGGCCTCGACAATGATGCTCGTCCACGCTGAGCGATGAGCGAGGGTGTATGCGTTGACCGGCGAGGAGCAGCTCGGCCGCGATTGTGGATAGACGAGGCCGACCTCAATGCCTCTTGCTGAACGTGGTAATCACGGGTACCTGGAGCGACGAGAAAACCTCGGCCGTCATCTCGAGCTTGCTGGCAAGACGAGCACGGGCACTCGACAGCGTTGCGGGTACGAAGATCCTGTGGCTAGGTAAGCGGATACGAGGGGCTACCGGTACGGTTGGCACGTACCCGAGACATGCCTGCGCGCACGTCGAAGCGAGAGGAAGGAGGGAGCAGGAGAATGAGGACGTGGGTGGGTGGGAGAAGGGCGTCGTCGAGGGAAGGGTGTCGTCGAGGGAAGAGGAAGAGAGGCGGGCGATGGAGAGCAAAGATATTTGCTAAGTCTATAAGTACATGGGGTGCTTGCTCGTTCACCCTCGCGAGCTAAAGGAGGGCAGTCGAGGTCAAGTAGGAGTCATGAGAACACTTACCTAGTTCACTCTCTGTAGATCGCCTCGGACACTCACAGCTGAGATCGTCTAGTGAGCAAAAGGTAGCTGGTCTATTGCAAGGTGGGAACGGCTCCGTGTACATGCGGGAGGTCGACTAAACATACAACGTGAGGAGACGAGCTCGCGTTCTGTAGCCGGAACGAACCCGAATCGAGGAGCTTCGCCTACATGAAGCCTTCGATCAGGTCCGGCTAACCGAGGCAAGCCGCGGCTAGCCCAGCTTGGTTTCTCACGGCTCATCGAGCCCTAAACACAGTGTCTGTTGTTGGATGGCTACCCCAAGACTCAAGGCCCTAGTGGGCACACCTGGACCCGAAGGACGCTTTGTCTACACAACCACCTCTAGCATACATCTACTAGTTGCACTGGCTGCGCCCAGGAGAACACATCTACTGCACAACGAGGCCCATCTTAAGAGTGCTAGGAGGAGATCAATATTTGTGAACAGCATATCAACGGCAGTGGCTACTTACGAGCGAACTATATGCGTTTGTCTACATAACAACCTCTGGCATATATGTACTGAACAATGAGGCCCGCTAGTGGAGGTCGACGGAATGCAAAACAAGGCGACCGATATTGGTGCTAAATAACTGTTCATTTTTTATATACTACAAACCTGGTCATGTTTAGAGGAACGTCATACAAGTCTCAACAGGGTTACCACTGTCGGGGCGTCAACGCATCTGGCCAGGTCCACCGCATTGCGCACATTCAGAGC